CATGTGTACTGATGGCTGTCCTTGCTGTACCTAGTACCCAAGTCTTCATTCCGTTGTAAGTGTAGTGCATCCTCCATCTCTTACATACATCATAGATTGTTCTTTCTTTCCTTCATAGCCCTTACAACATTTTCCTACACTCTGTCTTGTTTTTTTCTCTTTGTCAAAGCGAATTATGTTCAAGAGACTTCCCTCTTCCTCTTCTCTAATTCCTAAGCAATTTGCCTCCCAGAGCAAGCTAAACTTTAGAAGAATTTTTCTTTGATTTTCCTATCTTTCAGTAGTTGTGTATACCTGTTTTACATTTAAATCATTTTGCATAGGCTTGTCTTTGTGTCTACTTCTACACTTTCGAACAATTATCCATTTTTATAGTAACACATGTTTTATGAGTGGCTAAGAGTTAATGGTCAAAAAAATACTTTAGAATCTGAGCCTTAGAATCTTAAGATGTTTTGCATAGATTTTTCTAGATTAGAAAACCTAAAATATTTAAGTCCTAGGAGAAAAGTGGTCCCTTCATCTAATAATAGTGATCATTTCTAGGACTTTTTTTAAAAATTAAGTTTTGCCTAGATAGATTTAGATACTGCTACTGCATAATCAGAAGATGAGATATTGAACTTACGAGTCATTTTATTTCTGTAGCTATTAGCGTAGTTTTCACCAGGATATGAAATAGATTTCTGAGTGTGCACTTACTACTGATCACTGATTTTTTTTCATTGATAGACCTGATGTTTAGCAAGGACAAAATAACTTAGAACCATAGAGGATATTATAATTTCTCTATATAATTTGCTTTTAGATTCTGTTACTTTGATTTTTAAAATTCTTTTAGAAAGTAGGTTAGGATTAGGAAAATTGTTCTGAATGACTGGCTTTGATAATTCTATTGACTTGGTAGGTCAGGTGGAATTTGGGTCTATATTGAGATGGCAGTGTCATTGAGGAGTTTATGGAAATATAGCCAATGTAAAACATTACATAGCTTTTCATTGTGGTTTATGTACTCTCAAGATAGATAATGTACAGCACATAGAAGATGGAAGGTCAGTTGAGCCCTACACATTAATATTTGAGTAAATTTGGGACTATAAACATTCATTAGATTTAAGTAAAATTCATAAAAGACATCTAAGACATTTGCAGACTTTGCTACCAAGGATTTGAGACAGTGAATTGTTAACTGGAGAAATAATTTCTATCTTCATATACTTAAATTCTGGAGTTAAAATAACATTACCTGGTTTACATTGCTTAGATGAATCTTTTTCAATGCTTTCACTTTGTGTTATTTCTGTTACTTGGATTTA